CTGGGAACGCGCTCAAGCCAAGCAATAAAAGCATTCAGCCGAGAGAAAATCAGCTACGGCTGGTTCCACAGCCCGAAATACAGAATGCAAATGTTCTCTCTCAGAGAAGGAATTTGAGAACAATCTCAAACCAAGCCTGCTTTTTAATTTTCCATACCATGAAGAAGACTAAAGATAAGGGGCTTTTTAGGTATATGGAAAAAACAACAAACAAACCCCAACTTTCATAGCCTCATTATAATGGCCATATCACATACAAGGAAGTACAGATGCCCGCATCACAGAAAAAAGCGGATTTGCAGGAAAAGGTCTGACAAAAATCGGATAAACCTTCAGCTTGTATAACTTATTTGGTTTATTGTTACTGAGCATATCCCTGGACAACTGAAATACAGACACTATTGTGATATGTTGATAGAAGGCTGGATCACACATAATACATGAATTTTCTTTGATGATTTCTATTTTCAGCACTTATTTCACTGAAGGAAAACATTTCTTCAAGAGCTGCAAGTACTAATATTAGTTTTCCTTTAGTAACAAGACAAACATTGCTAACCAGAATTAAACAAAAAGAAAAAAAAAAAAGAAAAGAAATTGTTGACTCAATCTGTATCTTAAAGTTGGAAGGGAAAGGTAGTTAAAATATAAATGACCTTTATTTTTTCTCTGTTTCTCCGGAAGACATACCCGCTCATGACAACTTATTAGTAGTACGTGTTTACAATAAAGAAAGGTTTTATGAACCTAAATACTATCCTACCTTATAACCAATTAGATTTAGAATTTTACTTCCTTTTTGTTTTTTTTTTAATTATTATTTTTCCAGAACAGCATTCGAATGGTCATTTTTATTCATTTATTTTAAAGCTGGTGCTTGATCTTGAGCCATAAAGAATTTATAGCTATGTAAAGTTAGCTGCAACAAAGGAAAGCAACTGTTTTATATTTCTATAAAAGGCTTCAACTCTAATTCAATTCATTTTAGAGCAGCATGCTAACATAAAAAGTTGATTATTTCAACACAGACACTTAAAAATATGGAGAACTGTTTTGTATTATCACTAGCTAGCTTTCTGTAAGGAATAAAGGTTGAGAAAGAAAGAAAACTCTTATCTTTCTTGTATTTCACAGCTGTCAGTGTCTGGGCAGATGGCAAGGACAAAATGTAATTTAGTCAGAATTCATTAACTACAATTAGGCAATCTGATAGCAATATAAAAGATTAAGATGGACATCTGAGCTAGGAGGTGTCAAAGACGGCACCTGTTTGCTTCGTTCAAAAATAATGAAGAAAGAAAACCATCTTTGTTAACAGCTACTCTACTGGCAAAGTAAGTTACCTGCAGGAACAGACATTTCTGATACAATGCTGTGCTGTGGTTGCACATGAACAGTTATGCAGAGAAAAAAGCTATTGCTCTGCTTGGTAAAAACTAGCTAACACTAATGTGTGCTAAATGTGATTAGATCTCAAAAAGTATAACGTAAAAAGAAAATAAATAATCCTGACACCTCCTAACTTTCCAGTGTTATCATTTCTGTTTAGTTACAGGAAAAAATGGAAACACTGGTTTTGTGGATTTTTTGGAAGGACATGTATCATTACACTGGTTGTCGTGATACGTAATACTTACGTAAATCCTGTCCTTACTGTATCGCACTTTGATATTGTGAAGGAGAGTGGCCTCATTTAAATACATAAGGGAACCTGCAAGTAGAAGAAAATCATACACCATTAAGAACTCAGGACTACTTTCATGTACAGCCGAAAAAACCAAATCTTAGGATTAAGGAGAATTTTACTTTCTGTCTCTTTGGTTACAGTTTAATCCTATCATTTCTTTATACTGTCTTGAGGCAGAACTGCTGATTCAATATACTCTTTAAAAACCATAGACCTGCTCTATGCTGTACAACCAGAGTTACAGAAAGTTGCTGAACAAAGAGTCAGACTCCAGGAGTCTCAACACAAGCCTTGCTCAGAACAAGCTCCCTTTTACCAGCCTTGCAGACAAACATGGTGTGTCACCCTCCACTCCAGTGTGTAACTACAGAAACCAGTGCCTACCAAAATCCTTAACACTGGCTGTTTCCTTTCTTCCAGCTCCCCTCTCCCATCTCAGACATAGTATACCCAGGTTAATGCCACCTGACATTCAGAGTAACTGATGGCTCCTGGTGATTTTTAAATGCTTATATTCACTGATTCCCCATCAGGAAACATTGTAGAGGTGGTCACAGACATGACTGCAACACCCGGCACCAAACAACCTTTTCTGTTTCAATTCTGGACTTTGTTGCTACTAGGCCTCCTCAAAGAAACTTCTGGAGGAGTAAAAGTTAACACAGAACTTTTATTTTCCTCCTCAGTTCATTAATATAAAATAATTGAACCAGCTCTGCTGAAATGTTACAAGCAGGCATCTCAGGGTACCCACAGAAAGCTTCAGACCATATGGGTTCACGTTCTGGCAAAGCTGGTCCTTGTTTTCAGGTATAAAGGACCAGAAAGTGTCAGCAGCCTTAATGACAGAGGTCATTACCAGTTCCCATTGTAACAATATTAAAAACATTATCAATAAAACAATGGAGGGTACTACTCATTGCACAGCCTCCATTTTCAAATATGCTAAATCCTCTAGTAGTGTGCAACACTATTTTGTGTAGTTACAACTGTCTGACTACCATACTGCTAAACCTGACAGTATTAGTGCCACTTAAGAAGTTGTACACGTCTGGTAACTGGTGATGGAGAAAGCACTGTGCCTGTAATAGTAACTGCTGCCCTGCACCTCATATGAAGGCCACATATGCACCTCTCATGTATAATGACCAAAAAATTTTTGTCTCAAGTTGGACCAATGCCCTTTCTTGAGGGCTCCAGGAGAGAAAAACGTGTTCCAACTTATTTACACATATGTGCAAGAAGGGCCACCAGTTCTTATGACTTGAAATCAACATTACCCCTCAAGGACACGTGAAGCTCAGTATGCAGCTCTTAACATGCCTTCAGCACTCCTCCTGAGATAATGGGAGCTTCTCAAGAGTATCTGTGTTTTCATTTTCAATCTTCTACCCTTCATTCCACCGTAGACCGAGGAGTGGCTGTGGTTCTGCCTCCTACCACCTCCACCAGACCAGCCTGAAGCAAAGGAAGGTTCAGCAACAATCTGCAGCCGCCCTTTGGCTTGCAGCTCCACTGAACACCAGCCCTTTGCTCCCTCACGTGACTAAATGAGTTTTGCTTCTAATAGCTGGAATCTTCACACTTCTTAAATGACCTTGCAGCATCTGGATTGTTTTGAAGAAACCACCTTCCTCCACAAAATCCCTTGCATGCACATCCCAGCGTTGGCGGAGGCATATGAGGCACACTTTCGCTTTACACTAAGCCAATCTTACTTTGCATCACAACAGCCTTGAAAGTGAGCCTGCGCACAATACCTTCCTGAAGCAGCAGGCTGGCCCCAATCACCATGGCTTTTCCCCTGCCACCTCAGCAGACCTCTTTCCCCCCTAACTTCATCATGGTCACTGGTACATGAGGCAACAGAGTGCAGGCACCCAGCAATGCACAGCAGGACTTCTCCTCCCCTCCCCAGGCACACTCAGTCCATGCAGCTGAGAAAATGGCGCTGGGACTACACATTGCATCCACAGACCTCTCTCCACCTTTACGTCTCTTAATGAGGTCATCCCAAGAGAAAGAGACATTAAAAGGAAACAGAAACTCCTACTTGCTCTAATGAAAAAAAAGTCTCTTTCTCCCCTTGTGCATGCCTTGGGGCCAACAGGATGTTAACTTGTGAAGTTTGCTTATTTTTTAAGTCATTTGGATTCTCAATACTGACTTGAGAAACTACTATATAGTAATTGTCTACACACACTTAAGAAAGAATCATCTTCCTGACTCTATCTTCATAAGAACCTCTCAGGGTTTGCAGGATGATTTAGAGGAAAAAGTCATCAGTAATAAAAACTTGACAATTAACTAAACAACAAAGGACTCCAGATTTCAGTGTATCCCCAGAACTCTCTTTGCAAGTTCTCGTTAAAGAAGTTACACCTGCAGACTTGGTGCATAATGGGAGCTTGCTACTGAGGGAATGTCGCTGCCTTCACTGAAGACCTGCAAACTACGGCTTACGTCAGCAACTTTGAAATGCGTCTTCTTCAGAATAAATCCTTTAAAGAAACATCTATATCCAGAGCCAAAGAAGTCACCAGAGAGAGAATTCTGAATATTCATATGGCTCATGCCTAAATATAAATATATTTATATTTAAATATAAATGCAGTATGTATATGCATTTTGTAGTCCATGTATTTACTTAAACACACACACAGAGTTCGCAGAAGTGAAGTCAGCCACTAAAAGCTAGAAAATACCAATGTCAAATTTACCCACATTGGCTCAGCTGCACACAATGAAGCAGGGTTTGTATGGAAAAACTTTTTATAAAGTAATTGCAAGGCTCTGCATCTCTAAAACTAACTTTTTAAAGGTTCTTATCTGATACCCTGCCCTCTTCATTTCTTTAAAATTTTTTCACACCCCTCCCAAAACCAAAAAAAACCAAAACACTAAAATAATCTTTTTCTTACCATAAAAAAAAAATAAAAAGTTCCACATGTGGTGACAACCCCCCCAAAAACTGAGTGGGGCTTGGGGGAAGCAGAAGAGGAGTGTGAATCACACACAAAAAAAAAATCCTCAAAACAGGTAGTAAATGCTTTGTCCCTGTACTATTTGCAATATTTACTGAGAAATCACATTTAAGGAAGGGCTAGATCCTCAAATAGGTGTCTCTTGCAGCTAGTGCATGCAGGGTATGGAAGACTAAGGGTGCAAAAAAGGCAATACTTCAGCAAATTACTTCCCAGAAGGAAGTTAATCACTAATGCATAGGTTGGAATGCTAAGTATATTATTAACTAGTCTTTCAGGATTTTTCAGAGCAGTATTACAAAGAAAGACTGAGAGCACTCAGTATTTATGAAGTTTTTTCTTAAAGATCTGTGATGCTCAGCACAAATGCTCTCTGACAGAGAAGGAAAATGAACTTTCACACATCCTAGAGATAAACCTCAACTACATTAGAAAGGTCTCAAAATAAGGTTTTATACAGAAAGAATTAATGAACCAAGCATTTTTTAATTTTTTATTTTACTCAGTAAGCCAAAGAAGACATTTTCTCTGATAGGAAGTGTTTTAACCTAACTGAATTTTGCTGGAATCTCAAATCATATCCATAATGATTCCAAATTTCCGTTCTCTGACTGGGACACTGAGGTGGTAGGACATGTCAGTAAAATCACTGTGACAGATGCACAAAATAAATACATTTCCCTAACAGTCATCATGTGCAGAGAATATAGGTACCAGCTTTGAAAAGTTTCAATACACATAATGTTTGGAAAAATAGAACCAACTGGAAACAAGGCTACCAGCTTGGTTCCTCCTGTAACTACACCACACCATTTAAATCAGATCATAAGCCCCAGGTCTCATCTTCCTTATGGAGCAGCTGTAACAGCTGTATTTCCTGTCATGGGATATAAATACTAACCCCTACTCCAAAACAGGAATTGTGGTTAAATAACCTAAACAACTTTCAAAGTCCTAGCATCTATTTAAATGAAGAACAATAGAAGATAATTTTGCCTACCATTTACAAAGGTATGAGTATTTTCGCCAACCAGTAAACACCATAGGAAGCATTTAAAAGCATTTTCTTCATCAGGTTTTCAAGACAGGAGAATCTCTGTGATTTGTTCACACAGAGCAACATCAGCAGCATATTTAACAGTTCTCTAAAAGCTGATGCTAGACCTTACTTGGTACTCTTTCCCCTCTCCACAGGTTTGAATACTGTATATTTGTGTCCACACATCTAACTATGTATATTTAACTAAATAAAAGCCCTGCAGATCAACACTGAAGCTTATTACACAAGTTCCCCTCAAAACTTGGTCTCCAGTAGCACTCCTACATCTGATTCACTATAATCTCTTTCCTTTTCCAGTGGCCCCAATGGGTCCAGATTCCCATGTCCAGTTTTGGGAAGGTTATCTTAAAATTTATTTTCAATTACCTGTACTTCCACGGGAATGCTATCTGAGAAATGGGTAACATGCAGGAAAATGCTGTACAATAAAACTGCTGATAAAGCAACTAATTCTTTTGCTGCACCATAAAAGATAAATTTAACCCCCATAATGCTGAATGCAGTTGATCCTGATGGAGTTAGGTGAACATCTGATATATGTATCTGAAGTCACGTAACAGTTTTAAGTGGGAATAATGTAACTATGAGTTCTCTAAAGTGTTCATCTGAAAACCAAAACCCACAATAAATGGTTTTTAAAATGGGCTTACTTTAAGAACTTTAAAGGACTAGTAAAGGTCATACATAAATTCAAGCAAAGAAGCAAAATGACAACTACAAGGAAGAAACAGGAAGCTTGTAAGGAAACAATATTCTCCTCTATGCAGATATTTTTTAATTCCAAATGCATAATTTGTTTTAAAATTCATAACTTACAATTATCTTCCACATCCTTCTTGCTGTCCTCTTCCGCAGGAAACACTTGATTGATAGCAGCCTGGAAAGTCTGTTAGACAAAAAATATTAACATTGTCAGAATTCCATAAGAAAAAGAAACAGTTCCAAGATGTCTGGATACAATGATAAAAGTGAGTGCACTGGGACTGTGTGTGATTTAAAATGAAGTTGCCAGCTTTATATTTCAGCATTGGAAATTTTACTGAGTTATTAGATGCAGGTAAGAGCTGCTGCATTTTCATGACTACACGACATTATAAAAATGTAGTCACTGTAATACATTTTATTGCATTAATATTTGATGCTAAATTCCAAATTTAATATTGTAATATTGTGTAATATAAAAAAATAAGGATAAAAAAAAGTACTGGAAAGGGAACAGCATTGTAAAGGACAGTTTCCTCAGTTCTGCAAAGCAGCACAAAGAATTAAAACCAAATTACACAGTCGAAGGACTGTACTGTCATTATCATATGCTGTTTTAAAACACTCCTACTTAAAATATAGAAGTTCAATACATAATATCCTCTGTATCGCCTAATACTGTAGCTTTGGTTGTTGCTTGCTGGTTTTTTTTTTCTTCAGTAAATCAATACTAACGTAAAACAAGACCTTCCTTCAACTCTTGTATTCCAGTTACACAAAACAGCCATTTATCAAGTGTTCAGATCCAACTGGAAAATTTCATAACAAAAGCAACATTGTTTCTTCTTTATTCTCTAGAAATCATAATTTATATTGTTGTAAAAAGGAAGGAAAAACATCCTAGCACACACACACACATTACAGCATCTGCACAAAAATACCTATTGTAAGAGGTATGTGTTTAATTATACTTTTCCGTTTACTGTAGTAATAGCTTGTTTGAGCTACCTATGAATGAACAAAAACCCTCTTGTACCAATCAAACACAACAGCCGCCATGCTGCCGCAGGCACAGTCTCCTTTTCCCCCATGGAAGTGGAGACAAGAAGTCTAGTCTAATATTTAAAAAGGCAACCAATTGGATCTGAAAATTACTTCAATAAACAAACATGTTTGCTTGTTTAACATTGTACTTGGCAAAACAGTCCCATGAGAAACATCTCACATGGAAGTTTAGGAGAAAGACAGCAACTTGCTTCATCTTCACTTCAGTACCACAGACACAATATGTGAGCTCTTGTAGCTTAACACCATCATGAGCAACTACAAATGCCAACTATCTTTGAAGGGGAAAAGGTTAAAAATGTCTCAGAGTAGAACTACTTGCTGCCAGGAGGAAAACAATATGCCTTGCCTACAAAGTTATCATAAAATATGCAATTTGTAGCCATAATAAATTACATTTTGTTATCCCCTTCTCAGGATCTAATGAAGAAAAATATGCACAAAAAGCTTTCCTAAGGGAAATGGAGCTACTTGATGACATTAGAATATCTGAACACCCATCAGACCAGCCTCCTCCTAATTCTTCTTTATCAGAGACTGGTGGAGACAGGGAGGAACTGAACATCTTTACCTACCTCAGAAAGTTGCCAGCTGCTATTCCAAGTTTTAGCAGGGCAAAGATCCCCCATACCCTTTTCTCCGACAGTATTTCAGTTAGAACATCTTATCATCATAATTTTCTCTGCGAGTTTCTCAACAATAAATGTGTACCTCATTGTGTAAAGATATATTTGAACACATTTCCCACATAATCAGTTCCCTGTGCATGAAACAGTAGAAAAGTTTAAAAAGAGCATGACTGACTTCATGAAAATCTAACTTCACTTCTTGGCTGCTGATGTGTAACCCAAGTTTAACCACTAACAAAGACACAGTTTTTTTTCACAGGAGAGAATGAACACAATACCCAGCTATTCTGTAAGACTCTTCACAAATCTCGGGTGGTTTTAACATTCTGTGGATTTAAAGACAGCTATACCACATCTATCCCAGAAGAGGAAGGAAGAGGTTTTTCAATGTGCTCACCAGTCAGCCTTCTGATTCAAGATAAATTTCAATGAAAAAAATAATGAGAATTCACCCTGGTTTCTCCTCCTTCATTTTTTAGACTCAATGTAAATTGTGAATTAATTTCTAGAATATTTCAGAAGTGATAAAACAAGAAAGAAATACGAAGGTGGCTTATCTGAAAGCTGATGCTTTTCTTTTGGACTCTTCTAGATCAGAACATGAAGCCTAGTTTCAACTATGTCAGCAAAGAATTTCTTTCCTGTGTGTCACAGCTGGACTACTGCTTTATGTAAGGTGATTACTTGTTATGTAGGCAAGTATGCTAGCTAGATGTGCAGAGCTCCAAGTACTGCCAATTACTATTAAAATCTGATAGAATGAATAGCAAAATGGGCAAGGTATCCCAGGACTATCCATAAAAAAGTTATCCAAAGAAATTCTTTACTAAGTTGTCCCTTTTTTTAAAAAAGGGCATTTATTACAAGGAGGAAACACTTCAGGCATTTGGTGGAAGACTTCTGCATTAAGGCACAGCTAAGGACAAACTGTTCTAAGAAAATGGAGAGGGTATTAATGGTATGAGACAATAAAATGGTCTCAGGAGGCAAAAAGTTGGGTTTAGGGTTTTTTGTAGGGGTTGTGGGGTTTGGGTTTTTTTTCCTCTTTGTAATGAAGCAGCCCTTGAAATCCCATGGCAGTCTTAACTATTCTCCCAGAAACGAGATGAGTGAAAAAAGATATCTTTCCATTCAAGCAGGATCTTATTTCTACCATGTAATCCAATATGTGTAACCATGCCTCCCTTTATACCTTCCAGATACAGACAGAAGACATCCTTACTCTCAGCTGTATTTCACAGACCAACCTAAAGCAGTACAAACATTGCCTAAGACAGACAAGAATATGGTTTAGTGCGACGTGTCCCTGCCCATGGCAGGGGGGTTGGAACTAGATGATCTTAAGGTCCTTTCCAACCCAAACCATTCTATGATTCTATGATCCTATGCAAGCAAGCAAGCTGCACTAACTGCTGAAAAAAAACACCAACAAAAAACAAACCCGACCCTTAGCTTGAAACACTGAACTTTGGACATTCTGATCCTTACTTTCAAAGTACATTTATTCATTTATACTTAGCGCAGAAAAATACCTTTCTGGTTATTCACAGCATACCAGAGCAGGTGCCCCATAATGCCCTACCATGACCCTTCAGAACTGGTGCAGAGCCATACCATGCAGCCCAGCTGAGGGCAGGAGGGCGTCAGTAAGTGCCCACAGCACCACACACCTTCCCAGTGACTGCCAGAAACGCATTACTGCAGATGGTCTAGGAAATGCAGCCCCCACTCCTCAGTGCCACGAGGCTCCCAGGATGGCATCTCAAGGTGCAAGTCCCTTTGAGGCATCTCTTCCCCATCACTTTACTTATATTTGCTACCTCCAGGAAAAAAGTAAATTCCCTGTTTGACAATTTCACTGCCTCTGCCTTCTCCCTGTTACAGCATCAAGCAACAAAACGAAATAAGGTATATGCAACAGGATCTGAGGTTAGGATTCCCAGTAATTCAGAAGAGTACACTCCAAGAAGAAGCATAAGCTAATTGAGTTTAAGTGGCTGCCTTTCTACCCAGCTCCTCCCTTGTACACTGTGTGACTACTGGTAGGACACAGGACAGGGCTGCCAGCCCCAGTCCTCCAGTCCAGCTCAGAGCAGAGGGCAGAGCCCATTCTTGGGGCAGTCCAGCTCAGAGCCCATTCTTGGTTCCAGTCCTAGGTGGGACCATGCTCATTAGCAAACCACTCTCCAGTTTCTCTGTTTTCTTTCCTGTCCTGGCATTTATCAGCATTGCAAGCCAATGACCTAGCTTTCAGGGAGTAGCTCCTGTCTTGTAACACATGCAACCTGTGTTCTGATAACACGCTCCTGCAGCTTGGATTACTCTCCTTTGTACAGTGCAGGCTGAGTGACTCAGATCCCCACCTTTCTTTAGACACCCTGCCTTTGCAAGGAAATGCAAACGCTGTTGTTAACTCTGTGGTACCCAAATCTGCTATTGCTGGTTTATAAGCAAATCAGCATGTTGGCCAACTTCCCACAGTCTGGACTGCGTAACTTGGTTTCATTATACAAAGCAATCTACAGCCACAGTGGCCTCGTGTCTTCCATCCTCCTGCCACTGCTTGCTGCCATCCTGAAAACTTTCCACTTCCTCATTTTTAAGGTGGATCCGTTCTCTGACCTCGTTTGCTGTGTCATGCACAGCTCGACAGGCAGAGTCGAGAGGGTGCCGTTCTGCAATGCCAGAGCTAGCTATGGGTGGGGAAAGGAGGGAAGATTTTAGGACATCATGAAAGTGCTGCCTTGCAGCATTTACTGCAGTTACTAACAACATATTTTAATTAACCATTAAGTGGTATAAAAGGCAATAATCAAACATATGCATACGCATTTCCTTTCCTACCTGTGATCTCTGGTAAAATACCAGCACCTACAGAGAATACGTATGACATGTTAATGACCCAGATTAAAAAATAATAATAAGTTACACTGCCCGGATATGTTTACAAGATCAGCTTACTCCTCTCCTCCCTGTAATTATCATGGTCAACTCTGGAGCTGCTGGATCGCTCCTTCTTATAGAAGAGCAGTTCTGAACTATCTTTTTATGTAAACAAAGTTGATAATTATGGGTATTAATGCTGACTACTTCAAATTAATGTTCTAAGTGCACAAGAACAGAGTAATCTTAAAAAGAAAACAAGCAATGAGAAACATTTCACTATTAAAAAAAAATCAATGACACCTTGAAAAGACTGAGAAAGTAATAAAGAAAATGTTTTAATTCACCTCTATTAATATAAGGAGGTTTGATAATTAGAAATATAAGACCATAATCTCTATGGTATTTAAACTGTAAAGTGTTTGTTCCCTTGGATAAGGGAACATTAAGTCCTTAATTGATCTGCTTAATTCAGGGAAACAGCCAATAGCAGAATAACAAACTTTCTAGACAAAAGAGATTGATTCTGAACCGTAAACCAAAATATTTGGTTGTGTTTTGTTTTTTTTTTTTAATATGGTCCCTGGAATGGACGTATGTCAGAAAAAGAGAGCGACTCAGGAATCTGCTTATTTCCTGTTTCAATTTCAATATACAGACTTTTGCTCTTTATCACATCAGAATCACTTGGGAATATAAACAGAAATAGAGGTGGGGGTCAAAATCATTGAAGCAATTAAAGACTACTTAGCCATAGCTTTGGAATATTTAATATTTGTGTCTGCATCATTTTGCTCTTCCCCAAACTGAAGAATGCACACTGCTACTACTAAACCTGCAGACTTTCTCTCCAATGAACAAAAAATCATACATTGCATTTGCTTTGTATTTCTAAGGAAAGCAAAATCAACTTCCTCTCCAAGATGCACAAAAAAGAAGTTCTCCTCTGAAAGGAAGGACTGCTGCATAACCTTTTGACCTGTGACAAGGCATTCTCTACTACTGATGACATGAAAAAAGAAGTTAACAAAAAACGTTTTGTCTTTTCCATACCTGAAGATACAGAAAGGAAAAAAGATGTTAGAAAGGGCACATATCACATATTCACAAAGACCAGAATCACAACTTTTAAAAGTGTCTGATCTTATTCCAGCTAGTAAAAAACAGGATGCTGACCATCTGAACTAAGATAATTAATAGATACAAGGTGCTTCCAGTAAAAGCTGACATTTAATTATGTCATACTGAATCTGAAAGATGTCATGATAAATGAAGCAGCTGGAAAACACTAATTAGAATTATAGCTTCATTCTAAAAGTTACACTTACTTTGCCTTTAATTTGCTGAAGCAATTCCATAGGACCTTTGTTTGACATTGTGTTACTTTTTAAGGTTTTTAAGGTTTCATCTCTCGATCTTCATCAATCTAACAGTAAATAATCTAATCTAAACCAGAGCCCAGCACACACCTGCAGGACACTCGTGGGAAAAGAGAGAAACTAATCTCACCAGTAGACTCTTAAACAGTCTCTAGCTGAGAAGAAAAGAAAGTATAAAATACTGAATCACATGGCTATGTAGATTCAATCCTCCTCTCTTTCATGGTCACATGCAGATAACTGACAGAAAGCATGCACTTCTTATCAGTGGAATGTTTCATTTGCAATGCAAGCTAAAGCCGAAGACCCTTAGCCAAACTTAGAACAGAAAACTGATCTTCCACTCTTTCAGGCTGAGTATAATTGAAGTTACTGTCAAAGACATGGCCTATAGGTAAAACAGTTTTTGTAAGGTTTTTCTCTGTTTCTTTGGTTGTGAGACACTTACCTTGCCTTTCTGATTCAAAGGTTCAATAGTTAAGTTGTCAGTGCCAATGTCCACAATCATCCCCATCTGAAACCCATCAGTTGGGTGTGGAGCCCAAACGGGCTTCCCGTCCTCCATTGTGCGATCTATCCAGTATTTCCTGTAAGAAAAAAAAATACAAAAATCAAAAAAATTGTATACAAATTTAGTAAGCTATCTGGATTCACCACACAGACTTTAGTTTATTATATTTATTCCTATTAGTCAGCGTGGAAGGAACGTGCCTGTAGAATGGAGCCAGCCTGTCAGGACAAGATTCTTCCAGCCTTTCTCCAACCTGCAAGACTTTGCTTACAGAGAATACTCTCAGACTTGGAAAGTATGGAGAACATTCAAGAACAGACAAATTTGGCAGGGGGTGCCCAGGGGGACCCCCAAATTTGGGGGAAAAGACTGTTCTCTGTAGCTCTTTTCCCATTTTACCTAATTTGTGAACCAAAAGGGGGACTATCTCATGATCAAATTAGAAATACAAGACAGATTCAAAGCTAAGTACTATATCACATATGTATATATACCTGTACAGGTACACATATATATATGTGTATGTACATGCAGTGGGGTCATACAACTAATCATATTTGTTTGCACATGATTTGGTGTGCAAATACTTGAATTTCTAAAGGGCATGTGAGCAGAAATGCAGTCTCTTGTCGTCTGAGATGAATGAATGCGCTCACTCTTTTCATGCGTCTGGGCATATGGCTTTTAAATAACCCACGAATATATTCACTCACAATTGATATATCATAATATAGGCCTTTGAGAGACTGACTTCTGATAGTGTAACATTACAACTCTGCCTCTTCAGGAACACCAACTTTACCTCCCATAAAAATATGAAAATTGTTTCAGAGGAACCTATGATGTACAAATGAAATAGATGCAAAGACCCAAGACATTCAAACCTAAGGCTCCTCAAGTTATGCAGCTAAATAAGGTCCCAATTAAAAGGGGTATTTGATTGCATGCAGTGTGCATTGAGCCAACCAGGAAAGTTGCCAGGATTGGCACGCTCTGAATGGCTAATGGTGCCATTTTAAATATGCAGAATTAGTCCCTTTTGGGTTTTTTTTAAACCTACTTTATAGTCCTTACCCTAATAAGAATAGAGAGTCCACACGGCTTGAAAGGCTCATTTCTCCTGGCCATTTCTTACTCCCTTCCAAAACTCATTCACATACTAAACTAGTATGTTTCAGTGATTCCAAAATTAGTAAAAAGTATCTCATTTTACCAAGGTGTAAGTTACCTCTCTTAGCATGCACAAAATGAGCCTGCCAAGCAGCAAAGAAAACACTGGCAGCAAACTCCATGTAAGCGAGGAAACATGTCCCACATTTTTCTTCTTCCAACATTTGAAGGAAAAAGGAGGTCTGCAATTTCCCACTACCAACGAAGGCTCAGACCCCTTTGCCATAATCAGCAGCAAGGAAAAAGAGTCATTGGCCCATCAGAAAGTTGTACAACCACGAGCAGAAAAGGACACTCTTGTCCCATAGAGGACGTCAGGACATGCTGTACATGACCTGCTTTTTGCTGCCTCCAAGGAGTTTTAGAAAACTCTGAAGAGAAGGAAAAGGTTTGCTATGATTGCTTTGAGAATGCTGCTCATCTTAGCATCTTACTTGTCAAGGAATAAGACCACTTGCTGTTAACTTTAATATGAAATAACAGCAGATCAAAATTAATTCTAAAGCAAAGACTCAGACTGCAAAGTTAATTTTTTTTAAATGCAGAAGCGTTGAAAAAACTAGATGTAGAGCACTGAATTTAGCAGTGGTGTCTGGTTTTGTGTTTAAATTTACTCAGTTAAACAGATTTTTCCTCCCCTCCCCGAATGCAGTTCAGATCTAAGAAGCTCATGAAGATTTTAACAAATGTTTCTAGTGTATTCTAGTCATGTAATTCATGCTATTTAAACATTATATTCAACACTAGAAAGCTTGTAGTTTACTTTTCCCCCCATAAACAGAGCATATTAACTTCTTTTAACTACTCATAGAAAGTTCATGTTGTAAAACCTCAAGTGTCAAATTCCCTTCTATTTACTTCACACATTTTGCCACATCCCACAAACTCTACAAAACACCATCATCTTAATCATGTGTCACTAGCACCACACGATAAATCCTGCAAAACAACAGCTATATTCACTCACAATTGGCTGTTGGTCATTTTGTCTTTACCTTAGGATACTTTAAATCAGATCTAGTATACACCACAGTTTTAGGGTTTGGTTTTGGTTTGGTGGGGTTTTTTCAGCCAGCTCTGACCTCTGAGTACAACTGCCATCGTGAGCATAGTTGCTGAACAGCTGAATTTATTTCTGGGTATAACCAGGCCTTAATTTCTTCACAAGCCTATCATTTGCTTTTAAAATGCAAGTTCAAATTAGTACTTAAGTGGTATGTCACACAACCACTAAAAACAAGGCACTCTTTTTACATCCTGAGTAGCATGACCAGGGCTCTGGATGTAACTCTTGCACAAGAAACAAACCCTGGAATTACTGCCAAAATTTCTGCCAAAAGTGAGAATCCAAACTCCCCAATTAGCAGCCAAAGGCTTCTGCTTTGCTCACTGACATGGGCTTTTGCATTCTTACATATTCTTAAGCCCACTTCACGCTTTATAAATAAATTATGCCAGGGGAGCATCACAAGCTTAAAAAAAATAAGTCCTCTTCAAGGATAGAGCAGCAATTGAATTCAGCCACCACCAGGAAATGCATGTTTAAAAGAAATATCTGAGGCTTTGCAAGCCACTGCCGAAAGCATCTAAATACAAGTGTAGTAGCTACTCCTTTTAATAAATACAGTCCTCTGTCTGAGAAGTGACACAAAACCAGCTGTAACATTTTGGTTTTGGCAGCACTCCGTCTCTGTCAGCTGGAACTCTGACAGACAGCACATTAAAATTGGATACTGAAACCCAGCAGGTCATACCTGCTCTATTATCTACTCCTCCATCTGATGTATATGCCACTGCCCTTGAGAGAGATGCACAAAGTCTAGTCCTGAACCTACTCTTGAATAGCCAGTATCCAGCCCAGGATTTTAAGGTGAACAGAAACAAAACAAGTTCAAAGTTCAACTAGCTGATATAGAATCATAGAATGGAACAGAATCAGTGGGAACAAGCTGCTTTTTTTTTTCCCCCCCAGATGCATCCATCTAAATCCAATCTACATGGAGCCAACTTCACTACATTGTTAAAAGAACTCACTGTTTCTGAAAACAGCAAGAGGAAAAAAAGACTTAAATCCATGATAAAAGCACTAAGGAAACAAATTTAAGAACACCACCAAACACAAGGAATCACCTGCATAATGCTTCCAGAGACCAAAAGGAGCCATCTTCCACATTTGTATATAGGTACTCAAGATATATGAAAGTAGTTGATTATAATTTGCTAGGTCATTTTGGTCTCCGTAACTAAGACTTCTTCCAACATGAGGGAGAGAATTCACAAAGGCTACACTTACAACTGGGAAGCCAGCCACCGTTTTCTCTTTCTAGAGTCAGGAGAAAAAGAGACCAAGAACCCCATGCTGGAGTTTGTCTCTCTGTTGAGAAGGAGAGGGACAGTAATAAAATAAGCCTTTGTCTGAAGTTGGTAAATTTAATAGCTACTTCTTCAAATGTCAGACTTTATATTTTCATAATTGGCAAGAAGTAAATAAACCTTGCCCTAATCACCAGTAAAAGTACTTAACACATTCAGCACTGGCTAAACAGCAGCAGCCAGCAGTTCAAACAACTTGCAAGACAAAACTGTACTGCACTCCCCAGATGACAACAGGAAGAAAAACATAGGCCAACTCTTCTTTTGCTGCACTGTTATTCTCTCTTCTGGAGAATGTTTAATAACACTGTTTCTCAAAAAAATTATCTACATATCACATTGATTGATGCAACAACTAAGAATTCCTCAGTTGAAAGCTGGAACATGACCATCCCACTTATGTTTTCTTAAGATATTCCCGATTTTGAAAGAATGTAAAACAACTACATTTTGATTTTGTAGAGTATTCAAAAGGAAATCAAACACTGCTATCTAGTGAAAGAATTCTAGGAAGGCAAATTATAGTAATGCAACTTTAAACTTGTTACCTGAGACCAGAGGTAGGCATCTGAATGATCTGATCCTGTTTACTACCCTATGAAGTTTACTATACGAAGACACTGTACAGATTGCTGAATTAAGTAATTAAAACAAATGAAAAATAAAATTTCATTAAACAACTGACAGTATCTCATTACATTGGCTAAATCAAAATTCATTAAACAGTTGACAGTATCCCCTTAGGCTGGCTAAATCCAAGGAAAATAAGCAAGTCAGAATGGGTATATTAGGTAATTATCACAGTGAAAATAGAATTACATAACTTATTTTATATTAAAACAAAAAAATTCTACTTCTTGCGTGTTTAAGAGCTGCTCAAGGTTCTGCAGATTACACTGGGCACATGATAATGGTTTGGGAAAGGTCCTGTAAAAATACAGGACAGACCAGATAAAGGAAAAACATCAATACACAGTGGTAGCTTACTGTCAATCATGTTATTTTTTTCAGCCTAGTTGATTGTTTGACTGCAGTTTGAATAAATCAAAGCTTAGGCAGCATTCAGCACTCTATTGCAGGTGACATAGTATTTCAAACGAACTGCAGATACACTACAGCAATTTTGTTTTAGCTAAAAGCAAGTCACAATTGCATTGTTTAATTGAATATTCAGCCCATTTACTTTTTATTTCTTATTTAATTTTTCAATTTACTATAAAACTTTCCTGCACTAACACACTTTAGTTCACCCAAACCAAACTGCAGTTTTTCATACGTACCATACAGCAAGGTAACTGTGGCAAGCAGAGACTTCTGCCAACCCAGGAAGGAAGGAAACAGGCTAGAATACAGCCCAGCACAAAGGTATCTTCAAAAACAATTTGCCTTGAAAATGTTAATGCTGACTTGTTAATTGCCAATACATTCGGTAGATGTATGCAAGTAAAATAAAGAGTAGGAGTTCACACATTTAAAAATTACTAGATAAAAACTTCTTTTAAAGCTACATGCTCTGAATGCCAGACAAGT